TGATATGCATACCCTTCCGAGAAAACTCACGACAAACTCAAGGTCTCATGTGGTCTCACGACATTCTCATGAGAATCGCGAGTATCTCATGAGGTAATCCTCCTGTTGCAATCCTCATGAGGTTATAGGAGTACTAACAAGGTATCACGACCTCATCATGAGGATTGAGTGGTTGCTCGTGAGGCTTTGAAACGTCGTCAAGAGGATCGAGGCCCCATTACCTCTTGAGCCGTTTGTTCGAAAACTTCATGAGAACCTCTTTTTTTCTGCAGTGCATAACCGACAGGACATGGCGACGATATAGCCTTTTTTGATAATAATCCTCCTGTTCTCACTAGAGCATCTCCCCTGTACTCCCCCATCTGTAGGCATTAATATTTCAAAACCATTGAATGCCATGAGCATGGCATGATCACGCCTCCAGCACTATATTATCTAGTATAAAATTAGTTCACCTGAGATATTCAAATATTCATAATCGTGAGGGGACGTTACATAAATTTGATTTAATTGAAATCATTACTCCATTAATCTATTGTGTAAGTAACTTCAGCCTCTTCATGTTCCCTTATTTGTCAGAGCGAAAAATAAATATTGATATACTTCCCCCAACCCCCCCCCCCCATAAACCGCTCGGAGGGGACATATCTCAAAAATTGATATTTTCTGTACTCAGTATCTGACAGGTACTTCTTATGTTCTCACTGGAGCATCTCTCCTGTACTCTCCCGTCTGTAAGCATTTATATTTCAAAACCATTGAATGCCATGAGCATGCCATGATCACGCCTCCAGCACTATATTACCTAGTATAAAAGTAGTTCGTTTGAAATATTCAAATGTTCATAATCATGAGGGGACGTAACATGAATTTGATTTAGTTGAAATTGTTACTTCATTAATCTATTGTGTGCCTAACTTCAGAATTTTTCATATGCCCTCATTTGTCAGAGTGAAAAATAAATGTTGATATACTTCCTCCCCATAAACTGCGCTGATGGACATATCTTATAAATAGGATATTTTCTGTACTCAGTATCTGACAGGTACTTCTCCAAGTTTCAACTTTCTACCGTTCTCTGTTTCGTTGGATCAAAAAATGCACCTCGGCAGAAACACACACAAAAAAACAAGATCCAGAATTACGCTTTGAACGATTGAGGTCATTTGCGTACTTCTGGCAATGGATCCATTCCAAGAGGTTTCTTGGTTCTCAGTGGATTGAGAATCTTTGTAAATGGGAGAAAATACCTTACTTGAGGCATTCAAGCTTAGCCGATCCTGATGCAGAGACAATCCTTTGGCCCAACACCATAACTTTGTGTCTCAAGGGTCTTCCTTCAAAGTGAATATGAAACTTTCCAATTCTTTTCTTATGACTTCCAGGCGTCGGCTGCAAACCGCCCATCCTTGGCATGCTCGAAAGAAGCATTACAGTTTCTAGTTAGATCGTGGCATGGGGTATTTTTATTTGCATTCCAGGTCTAGGACCTAATACGGAGATTTTTCTGACAAACAATGAAATAGTTGTATTATCTGAGAAGAGCTTCCGCCCAATGTTGGACATCCTCTCGAAGGGAGATGGAGTCCTCACGCTACCAGGTGAATTTCACGATTTCTTACCATGTTATCATATTCATTCTTCACTTCGTTACACTGCACCTTTGCTATTTCCGTCGTGTCTCTATTCCAGGCAATCCTATCCGATGCGATTGTGACATAGCATGGCTGGTTCTCAATCAGAAATTTCTTACGAGTATTTCTGGGAATTGCCACAATGGAACTGAATTCAAGGATTTGGATGTTTTTGCTATGAAAAACTGTGGTCGTCAATCGAACGTTTCAGCATCCGCAACTCAAGGTAACGTCCCCAGTTACATTCTTTAAAGCTATGGTCCCTATATGGTTTCCCAACTTCAGGTTCCATGCCAAGCTAAGAGTGAAATGGAAGGTTTGGGCTTTTTTTCGATGATTCATTTGATGATTCATTTCCATACCTTGAAGACGGTCATCAAAACGAGAAAATTTGACCTGAGTTTCAATGAAGGTTCCCACAGTTGTGGATAGAGAGTTAGGACAACTCCGTCTGAGCCTTCATGACCTGTGATCGGAAGATTCCATTCACGCGATTTCTGGACGTCACTCTGACTCTACCGCTTCGCCTCGCTGCCCCCAGATGCAGTCGAACGGAGTTTTTTTAAATTTTATTTTAAAGCTGGAGTTTCAATGAAACTCCAGCTTTAAAATGAATCAACATTTGGGGAACAAACACTGCGATGAAGCATTTTAGATTGTATTTTTGGATTCATCTTCAGTGCAGACTTATGAAGAAGAAAGAGGTATACTGAGATTCCCTTAGCTCTCTCCATGTTATGCTGACTGGAGAAACGATTGATCTAGTTGAGTATGAAATTAATTCCAAATTCATGAGTGAAAAAGCATATAAGAAACGCGAGCTCATTCGTCACTTTTCAATATATATATTTTAGATAATGTTGGGAGCCGATACGATTTCAGCAGGAACCGAGAGGAAGAGCACATTCAGCTTCATTGGAATTAAATTTTTATATAGGACACGCTTTGCTACGTTTACGAAGGAAGCTGCATGACCTACTGTCGACTTTCTGGTCGGTCACGCGAAATTATATACAAGGGAGAGTTCGTTTTCCAGTGCCATGGACTGGCCTATGACGTTCATATCCTATCAGGGTAATATTACATTAAAATGCGAAAGTCCCTTCCCCCCGCATGAGTCAACTTTCTGGAAGCATATCTCTGGAAATTTCTGGAGAGATTTTTCAGTGTTAGCTTCAGTGTCATGGGCCTAGTTGGTTGTCATTCGTTCGATAGAATTATGGATGGCCCTAACTACGTTCAAATCTTTCGAGATCACCTCCTCCATAGTGCCAGAAAGCAGTTCGGTCGATGGTCGCAATTGGAGCAAGACAACGATCCCAAATAGAAATCTAGTGACGAAGCAGTTCGTATTCGAGGACGTACCCGAAACGATCGACCGGCCGTCGAACTGTCCCGAGGTTAATCCGAACGAGAACCTCTGGTCGATTCTCAAACGGCGTGTCGAGATGCGGAAACCTCGAAAAATTGGACAGAATTCTGCTGGAAGAATGGGACAGAATCGACATGGTCACTCTGTATCATATGGCGGATTCGATGGGAGCGTAATGCTTAGCTATGATTGATTCGAAAGGAGAGAGGATCAACTTTTGATTGTGATACTTGTGTACCTTGTCCCATTCCTTACCTTTTAATGAAATTGATTTTGATATTTTGATAACCCACCCTGAGAATCACTTTTGGACTTTTGGCAACGACTTTTGCATCTTAGTGTAGATATTCGGATTTTATTGCAACTGGAAATCATTTCACCACGCAGACTCGTTTGAGGTTATGTTTCTGTTATAAACTTCGGAATTGTCTTTCTATTCATAAAAATTAGGATTTTACCTCTAATCTCCGTCAACATGTCCATTTTCCTCCAAGCTACCAAAAATATCAATGTGCCTTCTTCATGCTAAAAAAGCGAGACATTCAGCCCTCAAACCGTCTGAGTTATATAGAAATTGAATACACTTCAGGCATGATTCGACCTCATATTGAAACTTTTTCACAGATTTTGTCATGAAGAAAAGGGAAAATCCAAGGAATATCCTATTGATTTCAAGAGACGAATGTGATACCTTCTTGTCTTCCTGCGTTTTTTTTTTCAACCGGAGCCTCATAGTGAACACGCTGCGATTCTTGTGGTAAAAGGAGAATGATCCAGTGTGGGGCTTCGCATTTCCCCTCTATAGACTTTCGCATTCCCCCCGTGATATTTCTGGGCTGTTGAATTGGCAAGGTGAAAAAGTGCGAATGGTGCCCTACTGTATCCCATCGCGAATGGGGCAGTGACTGGGTTCTGCTATTTTTTTTAGCATTTCTTCATATGTATCTGCTATCTTTATCGTGCGACACCTACTCTTCTCTATAAAAATCATGCCTTTCAGCGTTGCCGCTCTCCGTCGCGGTTAGGAAGTGCTCCGGTCAGGTCCTTTCCGGCTGAGAGTCAAAGTCAAGCTGGTTTGGAATATTTGCAGGAAAAAGATATGGGAATCCGAGAGACAATGACATCGTTTTATTGAAATGTCAATAGGGAGCGAGAGAGATAACACGGACCCGTGCTTCCCGAATCCTTGTGGGGCGCACGCGAAGTGTCGGGCCAGTGGTGGCCATCCCGTGTGCACGTGCATCTACTACGGGAACCCCGAGACGAGCTGCTTCGAGGGTGAATGCGTCGGTGAGTCTTCCGCGATCTCGAGCGTTTCCTAAGGCGCGAAAGGGGTAGATCATGCGTCGTTTCTCGCTTTCGCAGAGACTCACGACTGCAGCGACGATCGAGTGTGTAAGGATTTCCACTGCACGGATCCGTGTCCGGAGACGTGCGGGACGGGTGCCCAGTGCATCGTCCGGAGACACGTCCCCGTCTGCACCTGCCCCGCGGGTCACACCGGCGATCCCTTCGAACGGTGTCGACGACTCGGCCCCGGTAACGTTTCACCTCATGCATCCGTTTCCCGCGTCTTCCGGACGTTCGCGAGACCGATTTCGTTCGTGAATCTTCAGAGGAGCTGTGCGATCCGTCGCCGTGCGGGAGAAACTCCAAGTGCGAAGTTGCATTCCATCTGGCCATCTGCTCCTGCCTTCCCCATTTCTTCGGCAACCCCGTCCAAGGGTGCAGGTGAGCCGTTTCTCCGTTTCCAGGAGGGGGATCGAACGAGGCCGGAAAGAACTCACACTCCCGCCGCGAGGCGACGCGCAGTCCAGTGAGGCCCATCACCTGCTTCCACTGTTCCCGTCGTTTTTGTCGACCTCCTTCGGAAAACCTATGTTAGGAAGCGTCGGAAACGTACGCGAAAGCATACCACTTCCTCCGAAGATCGCATCGGAAGAAATAGAAGGGGTGGATCTTCCCGTCGTCCACCTCGCGGAGCACACTGACACACATTTTTATGGGGAGAGCTAACGTGATGAATTTAATGTGTGAAATGCTACGATTTCCAGAGCGGAGTGCGAAACGGATTCCGCCTGTGCACAGACGCAAGAGTGTCGGCTGTACAAGTGCGTGAACCCTTGCACGGATGCGTGCGGGGAGAACGCGGAGTGCCGTGTGGAACATCACCGGGCCATCTGCTCCTGCCCCAAAGGTACGTGGCAGATTTCACGTTCCGTAGTAGTACCCAGAGAATGTCGTCGATTTTGGGTGATCTTTTACACCCGAAATCCCATGCATTTCGACGAGGATTTTCCCATCCCGTTCTTAACATGGGATTTCGAATTTTCGTTTTCATCTTTAAAAAATAAGCCGACAAAAGCTTCTGAAAGGTGATTCATTTTTATTTTCTACATAATTAACTTTCGTCTCCGTTCAGATTTCCTGGGAGACCCTCGAATCCGATGCTACGCGGAATGTACGGTACACGTGGAGTGCGCCTATCACCAGGCGTGCGTTCACTTCAGATGCGCGGACCCATGCGTGGGGGCGTGCGGGATGAACGCAGAATGCCGCGTGGAGAACCACAAGCCCATCTGCACCTGCCCGAAAGGCTTCACGGGTCATCCCTTCGATCACTGCAGGCCCTTAAATCCAGGTCTATTCTTCTCTTTTTTAGTAGGCCTCCATTCCTTAAAGGAAAGAAACCTCTTATAGCCCCGTCTTGTCCCTCCGTGTGTCAAAGTGTCCTTGTTTCACACTTTGGTTGTCCGACGATAACTAAAAAATATTGGTCTGATCAATGCAAAAATTGGTAAACGGGTATATATGGACAAAATACAGGCTGACTTCGTTTTGCGGTGAATTTCCACTAATATTAGCAAATTTATTGCAAATTTTGGATTTAAAATTCGCTAACGAAGGAAAAGCTATGAGAAACTACGAGCTCTTCAGGATGTAGATCACAATGCACATGCGCATAAACCCCAGGCTTCGAACGCTGCGCCATATCAGCAACCAGAGCTGTCAGTTCCCTACCAACCTTCGTGGCAGATGGATCCAACCACTCAAAGCCCTCCGTTCTCCCATAATCGTTTCAAGGGCTCTGTTTGTCCAAGTTTACCAAATATAAATGAGAAATGAGGTTTTTTAGGGTCGAAGACCGGAAATAGATATTTGTTCAATTTGTTCAATTAGGTAAAATATGAGGGTTTCTTTGACTGAAAGGAGGCCCACTACTGGACTGGGCTGGCCCAGTTTGTTCTTCTTCCCTCCCCTCCCGTAGAGTGCGATCGTCGGTCGGAAAGTCGCACGCGAGAGTGTGGCGTTTCTGCGGTTCTCAGTTCGAGACCGTCATGGTGCATCCGGGACAGGGAGAATCTGTCCCGAGCCGTCCCGCTTCCAACGAAAAACACGGGCTCGATCGACTTGAACGCCTCGAAAGCCGATTTCCGTAATTCCCCGTGACAAATCTGGCACGACCTGCATCTGGGAGAAATTCAGAGATAAAGAAATGTCTTCGCTCGCACAATTAATGTTTTTCTTACTTCCCCTTTCTCCTACGAGCGTTTACGTAAAAAAATCATTAAGGAGTTCGACACCATCCCTCTGGATATATTTCAGAAGGCCTGTCGCTCAGTCCTCAATCGATGCCAGGTTTGCTTTGAGATTGACGGTAAACAAATCAAGCATCATAGAGGATAATCTCCTGATTGTGTCTGCACAATTTTTCTATTCTATTCAAAGGAGAGTCCGTTTTCCAGTGTGATAGAGCGGTCCATGGCGTTCATATCAGTTCAGAGTAATATAGGTATTCGGATTTATATGGAATTGAAAAATATTTCACATTGCACACTTGTTTGAGGTCAATTTTCTGTTATAAACGTTCGTTAGAATCGTGTCATCCTATTCATCAAAATTGGAATTTCACTATAAAATCCCGTTAATCTGAGCATTTTCCTTTGAGGTACAAAATATCAGAGCGCCATCAGTATTCTCTTTGATCAAATAGTTAGAAATTCAGCCCTCAAATCTTCTGAGTCTGACAGAAAATAAGTACATTTCATACATGATATGGCCGCATGATAAAATTTATTCACTGTCTTTGTCGTGAAGTAAACTGAATCCTAAGGTACCTATTGCTATAGAAAGGTAAGAACTTCCCAACAATTATGTTGACTGGTCATATATCCAGGAGTCCTTAAACTCTTAAAGAAACTCATCGGAAATAATAAGGGAAAAACCATGCAGATGCAATTTATGGAAACAGGCAACATCACAGAAGGTATATGAGTCGAACTCAGTGGATGCATTCAATGCTGCTCCAGTCATAACAACAAGTCTATATTTTTTCGCCAACAGGCGGAGTGATCGGATGCGGACAACTCAGCACCATTCAACATGGATCTTTTACTGTCGAGTCTTGTGGCAGCCCATCTGAAGAGATTGCTAAAAGAAGCAATGCAAGCTGCATTCAAGTTGAAAGCTATGCATTTTCGAGTGTCGTTAGATACAGATGCGAGAAATATTATGAACTGCAGGGACCGGAATTCAGAAGATGTGTGGAGGATGGAGGATGGACCGGACCCACCCCGTTTTGCAAGCCAGGTCGTTTTTTTTTACTACCATATTCCCTTTTCAACTGACACATTTCTGCTATTTCCGAATGATTCTATTTGTACCGTTCTATACGCAGTATGCGGAAAGAAGGCAAGTCAAATTCAACTATCCGCAGGAGGAAATCCATCTGAAATTGGAGAATGGCCATGGCAAGCGGCCATTTATGACATCAAGAAAGGAGATGTTATATGTGGAGGGGCTCTCATTAGGGAAGAATGGGTGCTAACAGCTGCCCATTGTGTCGTTGTAGATGGTTCCATCAGAACTCGGCACTCTGAAGAAATTTTTGTCTACCTTGGGAAGCATTATCGATCTTACATCAAAAAAGACGAACACGTACAGCTCAGACAAGTTCAGTAGCCTAACATTTTCCAATTTCCATCCATTATTTCCCGATTATGCAAACTATCGTAATCTCCTTGCAGGTGTCTCGCATAATCTTGCACAAGGAATTCAACTTTTATAATAACTACGACTCGGATATAGCTTTATTGAAACTAAGAAGACCTGCTGTGCTAACGGCGCGAGTTCAGTTGGTATGTCTCCCAAACCGATTTGATTTATCTGAAGCAATCCTCGACAGTGGAGTGCCAGGATGGGTAAGCCACCAAATATATTAATATCTCTGCCTAGAATTTAACCTTGACAGTGTACTTGTTGCATGCCCTCTCATTCGATTGCGTAATGATGCAGGTGGCTGGTTGGGGTTATGACGGATCGGATGAACTCGCAGCTGTCCTGACGGAGGTTCAACTCCCAGTGGTATCTAATCGCAAATGTGTTCGGGACACCCTTAATTTCACGGGAGACCCCGGCGTCACTCGTACCCTCACCTCAAATATGTTCTGCGCTGGTTTTTCCGCGGATACTCCTATTGAAGGTATGGTCCATGATTGCGTCAAGTTCGTATAAATGCATTCTGAAATTGTCAATTCAGCTCTTCCCAATTCCACACGCAAGCTTCGTCCTTTGTGAAACCTCTGAAATGTTAGTGGACACGCGTGCGTCCGCCTACCTACCCCAGCATTGAAGCAGAGGGTGCATGACATGCAAAGTGTGAATCACTTTAAGAGTCCTACGAACAAATTGCAAGAGTGAAATTGAGAATTTTTTCCTCTTTCGCGTGGGGATTTCCTATGTGGAATATTCTCGGCTGGTTTACTTATGGTAATTAAAAATGACACTTCCGAAGAATCCATCGCAATGCAGGAATTGAAGGAATCCATCGTTGCCAATATGAAAGAAGGTCGCCTCATGTGCGCATCCCACAACGTTACTTCCTATGCAGTGCTCGGAATTCTCTGGAAAACGTTCTTCCAGTATATGCGCGTTACGGCGATCAATGAACGACTGCAGGTTAGAAAAGCCAGTATTATATACTGGGGAAGAGACAGCAGACCATATAGTACCTTTTGCCAAGACTCGAGAAAGGGGGGAAACCACAGATGTGCAACTAATGACAACTCTTTCAGGCTATTTCCATAAAGAACTTGATAGAAGCACTGAATACATGAACGAGTAGGAGTTATTGATGTGAATCGATTGTACACAAGGGGAGCATTAACTGGTTCATGCAGTTACCGCTAGAGCTTGCCATTTGTCGGTAGTGACATCGCAGATTACTATAAAGATGGCCTATAACTGTAAAGATAACTACACAAATGGATAAACGTTGAGTTGCGTATTGTCAATTGATTTCTCCGTGCATTTTTAGTACCACTGATTCTTCACTGCAATATCTTTTTTAAATGAATAAAGCAATAATCATGATGATTTCTTCTGCGCAGATTTTCGAACGGTGTGTCCTGGGGACTCGGGGAGTCCCATGGTCTTCTTCTCCAATACATCACAGGACAGCCACTGGACGATGGAAGGGATTGTGAGTCACTTTTTCCAGAAAGGTGCTTGTTCCATGAGACGCCCTGGGCAGTATGGCATTTTCACCAAAGTTAATAGGTGAGATCCGTTTAATCCTATTGAATTTCATCATTCGCATCCCTGTCCTCCCTTCTCATGAAAAAATACGTTTTCCTCCTTTCTTCCCTACAGGTTCACCCAGTGGATCAACAGGGTAATACATAGTGGCTTCTGACAAATCACAATTGATTCAACTATATGCAAAACCTTGACAACCGAAATGAAAAAAAGTCATTTTCAAAAGCCTTCTGCATTTTTGCCAATGCACAAACGCACACATCTACGCAGAAGAGGATGCCAAAAGCCACCCCAGCGTTACAGACCAAAATAGCTGTCAGTCGATAAATCTTGATGAGTAGATTAAAGTTTTCAATGGGCACAAATCTGGCAGAGTGCGTTCATTGAGTTATAGGTCATCAAAGTTCAAATATTCTGTTGTTAGTTCTTTTGCTGCGTACATACATACATACATTTTCTTGGCCGCTTTTCCCAACTTAATGGGGTCGCGGTTCGAGCATTCCCAGGAGCGTCCTCCAATGATCTCGATCCTGGGCAACAGATTCAAGCTCAGCTGGTAGGATGTCGAGTCTCTCGTGACAAAGCCGAGCGACGTAATCACTCCACCTTGAACGAGGTCTACCGACAGGTCTTTTGTCGGTTATCTTGGCCTGGAAGACTCCTCTCGGGAGCCTTTAAGGGGCATGCAGCAGACGTGTCCAAACCACCTGACCTGAGACCTCTCGATCCGGAGAAGGAGCTGCTCGACGTGGAGCCTCTCGCGGATGGCAGAATTCCGCATCCGATCACGGCGCGTCACGCCAGCCACTCGATACAAGAACCTCATTTCGGCAGCTTGTATTCGCGATCTGGTGCTTTCGGTCATTACCCAAAGTTCATTACAATAGATGAGGATGAGGAGATAAGCACTCTTAAATCCGAGAGTTTTGCTTCCCGAGAAACACGAGATCTGGCAACCACGGTTCGCCAAAGTTCCCGCAGAACTGCAGAATCCTTGGAGATGCGGTTGTCTATCTCGTTTCTGCATCGCCCGTCACTCGAGAAACAGACCCCAAGGTACTTGAACTTCTCCACCTGTTCCAGTGGGACCCCACTGACAAGCAGGGTGCACCGAGCAGGATTTCTCGAGAGGACCATGACCTATGTCTTGGAGACGCTCGGTTTCATTCCGGCCGCAGGGCATTCAGAGTCGAACCGATCGAGCACGCTCTGGAGCTCCTGTCGAGAGCGGGTCAAAAGAACGGCATCGTCGGCAAAGAGANAGCGGGTCAAAAGAACGGCATCGTCGGCAAAGAGAAGTATCCTTACCGCGACGTCAACGATGTTAAGGTAGTATGGGAAGATGAAAATCGACCCCGCTGGATCGAAATTCTGCCTTATAATTATTGTAAGGGACCACAAGAAAGGGCCTTGGAGCCAATTGCTGACTCTCTCAGGTCACGCCTGGGGCCATGATTTGAGGTCTAAGGTCACAATTTACATGCCTCTCTTTGAAAATCTGTATCTCCCCAACGCTTGGGTGCAGTAACGTCAAATTTGTGCCATTCTTCTTGGGACATACCGCGCTAAATGGAACAAATAAATGTATTTATGTGACTCTCGTTTTCGAGACCCCATGGCGCCATAACTGCGAATTTTTCCGTTTTCGGATTCTGTTTTTTTTCGCTCTCATTCCTCGTAGAA